ATTTTCGCTTGCTCCTTTAAATTTCTCGTTATCAGTTTCACTTCGAAATATTTTATGTAATTTAATTTTTGGATTTGGAAGCTTATCAAACTAATCGGACAGGCTGTTGAATTTGGTCTCTAAATTTGCTAGAATGGCAACAAACTACTGTTTCAAATCTTTTTATCAATAAAGAAATATCATTTTAATGGTTCATTTGAAAATGAACTAAAAGAGAAATTACTTGCACGTTATACAGTAGTATCCTTTCCGATTCAAAGTAATATTTTTGTTCTTTAATAACAGAAACCAGGTTAGTTATGTTTGTAATAGTGTCAATAGTGCCGATCTTTAAGCGAAGAATATTCACACGCAAAGTTATTTATAGATTATTTCAGTTGGACGTGTGAACTTTTCAAAAATGCAAAAATGCTCACGCATGCGCACTCCGAGATTGTCTAGGCGTCTCCCGGCCGTTCGTCTTGGATATGTCACCGAAATGTATTGACCGAGAACGGCCTGGAAAGACGCCGTATAGGGACTAGGCAAACTCTGACCCAGAGGGACTTAAGGGTGACGAGAGCACTTACCTATGAGACTTCCATAATATGGAACGACCGTGTCGATGCGGCCAACGGCAATGCCAAAAACTGCAATAAGGTTTTTTAAACGCTCTACCTGTTTGTTTCACTTTTCGATAAATTTCCTAGCCGTCAATGCTTCGCGATCGACCAAGACGAAAAATTTCCTCAGTTTACGTGAACAATGGTCGACGGTGAAACAAGAAGACGATTTTCTTTATCTTTTTTTCAACTGACCTAAACTTCGATACAAAATTAGGAGTTTTCCCCTCAAAAAAATTCACCCATGCATTTAGCAAAAATGCTCGAGGAAAGTGTTGAGCTCAGCCGGTTCATAATTTTCTATTTCATCAGCCGGTTCATAATTTTCTATTTCATCAGTAACTTCCTTGTCTACGCACCAATTCTTCCAAACTGAGAGCCATTAAAACCAGTGCTTTTCGCAGTGTTTTCGTTTTTAGAGCAGTTTTTCAGCTCCTCTACAGTTGTTTCAGTCGCAAAAGCAAATGTGCTGCAAACGCCAACCATTGCGGTTTTTGCTCGAAATTGGTCCGGAGCGGATTCAAATTTTGCGCCATTTAGATGGTGCATTTGATTGGTTCTCTGTGAGTTCCTTTGTTTATTAGCTAATCAGAGTGTCACGTTTGTTACTCTTTTCTGCACTAAATTACATTTTTTCTGCACTCAGTTATTCTGCACCGTGTTACCTAAACTGCATTTCTCTTAGCCAATCACAATGGAGAAATTTTTTCATGTATATTATTAACAAGTAAAACCAAGTGTTCAGGGACACCCGATAGCCGTCACACAAATACATGGCCATCCCCAAGTCCAGATGAAAGAAATGACTCCACGGAAAACTCAAATAACGCGAAAAGGAATAAGATTAGGTACATTAAACACAAGAAATTAAAATAGAGTTTATGTAACGTAAATATATTATAACCTAAGGTAATATATGGTAGTTTGGTCTTCTAGCTGAATTTATTTCTTCAATAAGTTTGTAATTAAGTCAAATCAAAAAACCTGAATCCTTTTTTCACCAATGACTATGTAGTTTGTTGAGGAGACTATCCGGCAAACTTGATAAAGCATGATGGGACTTGTTTTATAGGTTGATACTAAATTCCGGTGTATAAAGCTACCCTGGGGCTGGCCGTTTTTCACCTGTGAGGGGGAGTGGGTGTCCGCCGTTTTGCTTCGTTAGCTACACAAATGGATCAACTTTCAGAATTGACACGAAAAATCGTCTCACATGTTTGGTTTTCCGCCACTCGATTATTCTCTCTACCTCTTACAGCTTCCTTCTTTTGGATTTTCTGCTGGATCGACGTGAAATATTATAAAGCTGTGCGTAATCTATGAGGAAAGCACGCTTTTTGTCCGCCATATTGGATTCTCTGTTGTTAAGAAGAAAGCCGCATGCCACAGCGCGGGCTCAAATGACCGTGATTTCTGGCGAAGGGATCATTAATATTTTCAAAATCTTGATTGATTTTGGGTTGTCCTTTTCAGATAAGGGAGCGTTACCTGGAGGGCCATTTCAATAAATTTCATGAAAGTAATACAAAGGCAGTAGCAAAATTTAAATTAAATTCAACAGCCGGGAATGGTGTACGCCGATCTTAAAAACACTACTGCAGATAAAGTACTGTCAAACCTCCCGTAAGCGACCACCCAGAATGCAAAGACTTGAGCTGGTCGCTTACAAGAATCGAACCATAGGGAGCCTCATCCGAGAAGAGGTCCTGGCACATCTACCTTATAGAAGACAATTTATTACGCCATGTGTAGTTCCATGTTGTCACTAAAGTTCTTCGTATATTCAAAGCAACACAGTGCACACAGCGAGCAACAAGATCAGAGAATGCGTCAAGTGGTCGCTTACAAGAGGTTAAAAAACTAGAAAATCAGTAAGCTTTCAGGCCCAAAAGGTGGTCGCGGTCGCTTACATTTTGGTGTTTTGGATCGACAGTCGTTTATGGGAGGTGGTCGCTCATGGAGGTTCGACTGTATGTGGTGAACTTCGGCAAGATTTTTAGCTAGAATATTCGTAGTTTCCATAGCAATGGGGGTCATTCTAAAAGGCTAGGATGAAATGGGGAGGTCGGTTTGAAAATCTTTTAAGCTTTCTCAAACAGCCTGCACCTCTCACAAGTACCTAGCTGTTGTTTAGTGATTAGCTTTAGAATGAAAGGGCTCGGATATTCGTCGTCACATAATTATGTGTAGTTACAGAATTAAGTATTAACTAGTTGACACTACAGCTGCCTCCGCTCTGTATATTGTCGGTCAATAGCATTCTTGCTCGTTGTGTAGCTCTTTGAAATATACCGATTCATAAGGAAGATTTTCACACATATTCCATACAATAGGTGAGATAAATACACGAAACGCAAGGTTCCATGCACAGTTTCAGGTCCAATTACAAAGCTTTGATCAAAACATCCTCAGTTTCGAGAATAGTTTATTCTAAACCATATATAAGAAAAGATTTAATTAGAAGTTGAATTTTTCTCTATTTCTCTTTCACTTTTTACATTCAGTTCATTTTATTTGCCGGAAAGGAAGCCTTAGAAATTAAAAGGACGTTTGATCAATTCACACTCGCGCATTCTGGCTTATTTTAAACTTTATAGCGGAAGGACATTTAACTGATTTATACATCTTTGCCCATTTTTCTCTAACTGGTAAATGAAATCCCAGCAATAAAAAACAAAAATAACGATTTAGACGTTTGACCGCGGTGGTCCCTGGGGCTGGCCGTTTTTTACCTGTGAGGGGGAGTGGGTGCCCGCCATTTTGCTTCGTTAGCTACACAAATGGATCAACTTTCAGGATTGACACGAAAAATCGACTCACATGTTTGGTTTTCCGCCACTCGATTATTCTATCTACCTCGTACAGCTTCCTTCTTTTGGATTTTCTGCTGGATCGACGTGAAATATTATGAAGCTGTGCGTAATCTACGAGGAAAGCACGCTTTTTGGCCGCCATATTGGATTCTCTGTACAAGAAGAAGAAAGCCGCATGCCACAGCGCGGGCTCAAATGTCCGTGATTTCTGGCCAAGGGATCATTAATATTTTTTCAAAATCTTGATTGATTTTGGGTGGTCCTTTTCAGATAAGGGAGCGTTACCTGGAGGGCCATTTTGATAAATTTCATGAAAGTAATACAAAGGAAGTAGCAAAATTGAAATTAAATTCAACAGCCGGGAATGGTACACGCCGATCTTAGGGGCTGTTTACATGACACGCTAACTTTCGCGCCGGAGTGAGTTCACTCCGGTTCCCTCTCATGGCTCTACATTTGTTACATGATACCACCACAAAATGTCATGTCGGCGCGAGTCACCCCGGTTGTTGTACCGGGGCGAGAATTTCACTCCGGTACGAATTCTCGCAACAGTATCATGTAAACGCGAAACGACCACACGTTTTGGTGCGAAATCGGTCTGCCGGTAGACTGGAACGGGTAGCTGATGTGTAATGTTTTCGATTTTGAATCTTACTTGTATTTTATCAGCATGAAGTGTACCTTCAAGTAACGAGATATGAAATGACCCAGTAATAATGTAAACGCGAAATAAAAAAAGTCATCCCGGTATGAAACTCGCGCCAGTGCGAGTTTTCTCTTGTAAACACCCCCTTAGAAACACTACTGTAGATAAAGTACAGTCAAACCTCTCGTAAGCGACCACCCAAAATGCAAAGACTTAGTGGTCGCTTGCGGGAGCTGGTCGTTTACAAGAATCGAACCATAGGGGGCCTCATCCGGGAAGAGGTCCTGGCACATCTACTTTATGGAAGATGATTTATTGCAATCCCCCCATGCAATGTCTAAGTTACGCCATGTGTACTTCATGTTGTCATTAAAGTTCTTCGTAAATTCAAAGTAGCACAGTGCACACAGCGAACATAGAGATCAGAAAATGCGTCAGGTGGTCGCTTACAAGAGGTTAAAAATCATTAAGCTTTAGGGCCCCAAAGGCGGTCGCGGTCGCTTACATGAGGTGGTCGTTTAACAGAAGCACCAACTGTAAGGCTTTGACTGAGAAAAGTTTGGTATTTTGGATTAACGGTCGTTTATGGGAGGTGTCGCGACAGGTGGCCGCTCATGGAGGTTCGACTGTATGTGGTGAACTTAGCTTCGACAAGATTTGTAGCTAGAATATTCGTAGTATCCACAGCAATAGAGGTCATTTCTACAAAGCTATGATGAAATTGGGAGGTCGGTTTGAAATATTTTTATAATAAGCTTTCTCAAATAGCCGGCACCCCGGCTCTCACAAGCAGTAAACGACCAGTCCCACTGGAACCTTGAAACTCTAATGTCTGGGTCTCAGGTACTCTCTTTAATAATATGATTAACAGGTTTATCATATCATATGACATTAGATCGGTAGATGTGCTTGTAAATGATAATTTGAAATGGAAAAACCAGTCGTTCACTTGTCAAGGCTACCCTAATGTATAAAGCTGTCTTAACGATCAATCTGTCTCCATCTAACAGCTCCTTACAAAACTCAACGATAGTAGCACCAACCATAATCTTAGGAATCTTGAAAATGATCTAGCACTTCCAAGGCCAAAAACAAATTTCCTCAAACGTAGTTTTAAGTATAGTGGTGCAATGCGCTGGAACAATCTTTCTTACCAGGCAAAACAGCACGATAGTATTCCGAATTTAAAGGCAAACATGCCTCTTTGCCTTCTGCTGGATCGCTCAGATTCCTCAATTTGTGTCTAAATATTTTAGAACCTATATTAATTATTCTCCAAACCTCGCACCAACATATATTGTAAAAATAGCTGCATTGTGTAAATTTTTACTAAATAAATTATTCTCTATAAATTTGTCACATTTTAAATCCCCACGGAACACCAAATTGCTTCTGTAATGCCTGTTTGCCTACGCGCCGGCCTGGAAATCAGCTTTTTTTGTTTGTTCTTGTTGTTGTCAACGAAGCTTACTATAAGTAAGCCCCGTTTACAATGAGTTTATCATTCATGCACATCCTTCAGTGGACTTCAGTTTTGGCTTCACTTTCACCATTTCGGACAAACTGAGACACTGATGACTGTTGCTTAATGATTAGCTCCAGAATGAAAGGGCTCGGATATTCGTCGTCACATAGTAATAGAATTAGGTATTACTTATAGGGAATGGACCGCCTTAAAAATTCTGTTTTACTGCTCAAGTATCACTGCACGGGATGTCAAGAAAAAGGAAAGCAAAAAAGAAGAGAGGAGAGAAAATAGCTTAATGACAACTGCTCTCTTTATTGCAATATAATTTACGGCTACACTGGTTACATGGTTGTCCTAAATTCTGCTTTAATTATTTAGAGGTTAAACAATGCAGCTAACAATTGCAACGCGCAGCCCTGGCTTTCTTCTGGTGTGTTGGAAGTCTTCGCCAGGCGTTTCCCATGAAGTTATGTCTTACCCAACGCAGTCGGTACCCGGGGGGGGGGGGGGGGGGGGGGGGGGGAAATCCTTTAAAAGGGGGGGAAGGGGGGGGCGCGGGGGGGGGGGGCCTTTTTCCCCCGGGGTTGGTATAAAAGGGGGGGCCACGGGGGAAAAAACCTCTGTTTTTCAATATTTCTGAGGGAGAAAATAAAAGGGTGTGCCTTTAAAAGAAAAAATGGGGCCATTAAAAAAAAAAAAAAGGTGGGGGGGGGGGTGGGGGGGGGGGGTGGGGGTACATCCTTATAAGAGGGTGATAGGATGTGCCGCTGGATGGGGTCGCATTTTCACGACTGGATTGACTATAACGGGGTCGCACATGGGAATAAGACACTAGTTCTTCATATATCTGTAGGAGAAAAGTAAAGTGTTCTGCATTCAATCGAAAACATGGGTCAATTCATAAAAATAGAAAGGGACTTAGTTGGGATCTCGGAAATTGCATATTTGCCCAAAAGTGACTACGATGGGGTCTGTATAATTGGCCACAGAATAGACTACTATAATGGGGTAGGGGCTCTGAGAGGCCAGCGGCACATACCCAGCAAAAATTAGCCCAAGTACCCCCTCTCCCCCGCCCCAGTATCGTGCCCTTTGATTAACTGACTATTAGCTTTGGCAATCACACGATACTTTTCGATGTTAGCATGTCGTGATGGCTGCATTGGTATAATCATGCATATCGGCTCCATGGAACTGCAAACAGACGGCCAGTGGTCAAGATCCTATTATTTTTAACTTGCTTATTCATTACCGTGGCGGAGAATAATTGTAATAATGAAATAACTGGTAATTTACACTGCCAATGTTAGTGACTAGTGTAAGAAATATTAACGGTGGCACCATGTCTTTAAAAATCCAGTTCATTTCTTTCTATGGAATGCGATACAACTTTAAAGTTACAAGTAAAAAATACTTTAAAAATAGGAAAATTACCTTAAATTGATAAAAAATTATGTCATACAGTAAATAAAACCTCATTCTGTTCTGTCACATTTTCTTATTATGAAAAGAAAAGAAACATTTTCGGTCTATTGATGGGGAGAAAACATGAGTTACATTCAAGGTTCCAGTACAGCCGCGAGTAAGACACATGAAACTTCCACCTTGTTTGTAGTAAAACACATGATGACGTCCATTACTTTCGGGTTTTTCATCAAACCAAACTACTTTGTTGACATTACCTTTACAGGAAACATTCTGAAAAAGCAAAAAAAGATCGATTGTATCTTCTATATGTAACAATTCAATGTGAAGTTTTTACTACTGACGATTATTATCAATTACGATAGACATATAAGTATCAGAAAGGGATTCTTAGGAATCCTCTTCCAGCAATACTTTTTACCCACGAATCCCGATTGAATGTCTCATTGGGTTGGAATAGAGCATTTTTACATGACGTCATTTCTGCCATATTGGTGACGCAAAAGCAATAAAAAGGCTGCATTGTTGATTTTCCTAACCATTACCGTGGGAGATGAACCTTTTTCCTTTGTAAAAACGTCCTTTTGTTCTAATAACTTTGCATATCTGCAGGCCACATGAGTGAAAAGGCTCTACAGAATTTAGAGTAACATAACTGAAAATATAATTAGCATTCATGCAATAACCATTTATATCTCAAATTATCCCATGTCATAAAGAATTATCGGGAACCTAATTATCAAATCTATTGCAGTTTAATAGGAAGGTCCATTTTTAAAAAGGATGATTGTTTCACAATTGTAAGCCCGCTGAGGGAGTTTCTTATGCTAGTGTTTTCACTCACCACGAAGCTGACTACATGTACATTGTTTCTTTTGTTTCTTTGTACCGTAAGTGAATACGTTTTGTTGAAAGAGATGCAACTCTTATTTCCCCTTCTTACCATCGTAAAATCTGCAGAAACATAACACCAATATATAAGCTTTATGACATTGCACCAGTGCCTTTTAGAAAATCTCACAATTTACTTTTTCTGACAACTGGTGACACATTCCTGATCAAACCAGAAAGAGCCAAAGGGGATAATAGGAGTTCAATTAATCAAAATTAGGTGAAAAGAAGAATAACATTGCAAAATTAAATATTTCTAGGAGGAGTGAAAACGATTTTTCCGCGGGTGGGGGGTGGGTGTATCGAAAATTACGTTGTATCGTCAATCTGACACAGAAATTAGCCAAACCACATGGTCCCCGCAGTCCCGCGATTGTCTTTGGTAATAAAATACGGCTAAATTTTCGACTTGTAGAAATCTTTTCCATCTTAAAATGATTTTGAGATGGAAAGTGACTGACGGCAGTCGAATCACTTCATGAAACTCGCCAACTTGCCTGTTCTTGAATCCGTCTTTTTTCGTGAAAAAGACTTTTCCGAGTGTGGGTGGTTGTGTCGGATATCATGTTGTATCGCCAATAACATAGGAATTCGGCTAGACCACATTATCGCCGCAGTGGATTGATTGTCTTTAGTAATAAAATTTGAAATTTTCTGCCGTCTTAAAATAATTTTGAGATAGAAAGTGGCTGAGAGCAGTAGAACGACATCAAGAAAACCCGCCAACTTACCTGTGCTTGAACCGCTGCTCGTTTCCCCATCCGCCATTGCTTGACATTTGTTTCGCGAATTTATATTTTCACATTCCTTCATGTTTATTCTCACATAACGCCCATCATAATTGCACTTTTTACTCCTTGGACCCTCGTAACTAAGTCCGAGAGAGTATACTTCCTCAGCAAACAAAAAGACGAAAACAGTCTAGGGACAAAGAAAAGAGATATGATAAGCGCTAGCTGAAACAAAAATAAAAATAAGTCAAAATTCGAAAATAGCGTAGTTACCCTTAAACTCAAAATACAGTCAAACCTCCCATAAGAAGCGACCACCTGCCCAGAAAACTTTTTTTCCAGTCAATGCTCAATAATTAGAACCTCTTGTAAACGACCCCCTCTCATAAGATGCGACCACCCACCGAGAGAACGTTTTTTTCCAGTCAATGCTCAATGATTAGAACCTCTGGTGAGCGACCACCTCCCATAAGAAGTGACCACCTACCCAGAAAACTTTTTTCCCCGTCAATACTCAGTGATAAGAACCTCTCGTGAACGATCACCTCTCATACGCGACTTTGGTCACGTTTTGTCCTTATAGTATCATAGTTTTCCATTGTTTTTAGCCTCTTGTGAGCGACCAATTGACGCATAGTGCCGTCTTGTTGCTCGCTGTATGTACTATGCCACCCAGACTATAAGAAGAACTTTGAGTGTCAAAACAAAACTACAAATATACATAACTTAGAAATTGCAATAAATAAATTCTACAGCAAAACGTAGATATGTCAGGACCTTTAGGATGAGACCCTGTGTAGTTCGATTCTTCTAAGCGACGATCTCCCGTAACTGACCCGCCCCGGACACCTTACATTTCGGGAGTTTCGACTGTATATAAACTGACGAGAAATGACTTGTTTTAAGTTGTAAGATCTGGATAAATTGTTCCAGGCAAACAACAGTTTTTTAAACCGTGATCAAGCACTGCCTGCAGGTATCCGTCAAGAAAACTCGTTTCATGAAACTCGGTCCCCAGATATATACAAAAGTCAAATCCAAACTTAGAGCTTAAAAGTAACATCAGGCTAAAAAAACCTGGTACTTCAAGTTCTGGTATACTCACTGCAAAAAAAACTTTCAACTTCATTTTCTTCTGCTAACACTGAACCTTTTAGATCAACTTCAAACTCTTTTGGCGATGGCAACTCGATTAAGATAAAGTTCGGCATAAACTTCTTCATTTTATAGTCTATAACCATGATGTTTTAGTACAATTGTATCATGTTTGAAGAATTTAATGTCCCTAAGCTTGTAAAATTTTGAATTCTTGATAAACATACTGAGAAATTCTTTTCCCATGAACGTTGTTTAAGTAAACATGAAGTTTGAATAGTAAAACAGTTTAAAGGTTCAAAATCAGCGGAAGTATCCTTTTATTAGAGTGATGTAATGATCGCGAAGGTATTTAACTCTTCCTTAGCCACTTGGCATCCGCTTGAGGGGCAAAAATGAGCTTGATCCGGCAAGAATTACCCGACCGGTCCAGTTTCAGGGATGCTTCTTTTGTAAACTTCCCGTTGTGTGCACTGTCGAGAAAAATGATCTGTGACCAAAGGTCTCTTTCCGCTT